CATTTTGGCTGCTTCCCTGTGTTTGTTTCTATGTACTGGGTAGCTGCTAAGTCTCCTTGAGTTGATAGAGTGGCCTTGTGTGGTTGGTGTCCAATAGGGCCCAGTGGCTCAGCCTCCCCAGTCACCTGAGGTGGACGCTCTTGGTGCACCCCTGTTGGATGTTTGCACAGTCTTGTTGTAGTTAACCCTTGATTGCTGTTGGTATCACTGGGAGGAATTGACCTCCAGGCCAGTTGGCTGTGGTGTCCAGCTGTGTCTACACTGGAAGATCTGTTGCACAGGATATACTCTTATGGGGCAGGACTTGCTTCAGTAGGGCTTTGGTGCTCACTGAGTCTGCCCCTTGAGTGTGTCTCTTATGGATGTGAAGAGTTGTAATCTGTTATCATCTCCAAGGAGGTGCAAGGTCAGCCACTGTCTGGGGCAGCCCAGCAGGAGCTACAGAGACATCTGAAGATTCCTCCTCTTTGTATGGAGCTTGGAAGTGCCCAGACGAGGCCCAGCTGTGACTCAAGGCTGCTGCTGCTACCAGGTATTGGGCCTTCTTTTGGAATCTCTGGGGCTCTCTGACCCAACTGCATTTTGTTTTAGGGGAAAGGACAGGCAATTCATATGCAAAAGCTGATGCATACAGCTTGGGTGGGGTTGTAAATTGGGAGGAGCGGGGTCTCTGGGAATCACCAGGGCAGAGCAAACAGCAACAGGCTTCCCTGAAGTGGAGAAGTCCCTGGTTCTCCACATCCCGTGCACCCATGCAGGAACAATGATTGCTTCGAGCACCTCTAAGCGTAAGCCACATTAACGTTCCTGTCCCAATGCCAGACAGTCCAGTTTCTCCCCGTATGTGTCTGGGTCCCCCAGAGTCTTGCCCGTAACTGGAATTCAGAGCAAGCAGGAGCTTGTATCTCCCTCCCAGCTTAAAGAACAGTACATCCAGGTGCCAGCACTTTACGCGCCTCCGCACCTCTTACCAGTCTCAGTGTGCTTTCTTCACCTCTCTAGTTGTAGAATTTCCACTCAGCCAGCTTTCCCACGGTTCTGGGTGGTAGTTGTTCTGCCATTTAGTTGTAATTTTGGTGTGGCTGTGAGAGGCAGCAAGTATAGGTGATTACCTATGCCGCCATCTTGGTTTTTCTCAATTGTCCTTGAATTTATTTGTGGTTTCTTGGGGGTCTAGATGACCTTGCCTTCCTTTAGAGAGCATTCACTTTTGCTTCTGTCAAATGTCTGGAACATTTCCAGTTTGGAAACATTTTCTCTCTCTCCCTTTTTTTAAAATATATTTTTATTGATTTCAAAGAGGAAGGGAGAGGGAGAAATAGAAACATCAATGATGAGAGAGAATCATTGATTGGATGCCTCCTGCACACCCAACACTGGGAATCAAACCCACGACCGGGGCATGTGCCTGGCTGAGAATCAAACCGTGACCTCTTGTTTCATAGGTCAATGCTCAACCACTGAGCCATGCCGGTTGGGCTGGGAACATTTTCAAATAAAATCATAACTCGAAAGCTTGGGGTTTTTTGCTTTGTTTTGTTTTACAATTCAGTTGGTACTGTAGTTGAGCTACAAAAACACTTGAAGATTAGCTTGTAGTTACAACAGCCTAATGACTTTTCTAGTGTCTTGCTCTGCTTAACAGTAACAACAAAAACATCTGAGAAGGGTAGCAGGTTTACTAATGGCTCACCCTTACTCTCAATGTATGGTTCTCTGTAGTCCCAGCTTAATGGGCGGACAGAATCTCTTATTGAACTTTACCCTGAGTGGGCCTGGCCTTTGAATTCTCTTCCTCTCACCTCTAGGCCATCAAAGCCTCGAGTTTACAGGTGTCCTCAGGGCAAAACCTAAGAGTTCAGAGGAGAAACCCCAAATAGCTGGTTCTTGGGTCTCTGAGAAGGGGCACAGCCTGGTGCCCAGAGGCAGGATCCTGTGGGTCAGGCCTAGTGCATGGTTAGTACTCGGAGGGCAGGGGCTGTGGCCGCCGGCAATTCTGAGAGGGCACAGCCAGGCTGGTGCCGGGAGCTACATCTCTTACTACCATTTTCCTTCCAGTTTTAGCTCCAGGGACGTCATACTTCTCATTTTCAACGCCAACATGAGCCTTTGTACAGACTTTCCTCTGCCTGGAACACCATTTTGGCTCATCTGCCTGGTGATGACATTGTTCAATGTCACCTTCTCTGTGAAGTCTACCCCACAAGCAGTCTAGAGTATTCCGTGTACGTGGCGCCCCCTTGTGGTCCCTTCATTTAGAGCAGGGTGGAAGGACACGTGCAAGTCTTGGACCAAGGGCCTTGTTGTTGCCCGACCTCTCCCTGCTGACCTAAATAACGAAAGGCGGCGTGCCAGCTGAGTGCGTGGCTGCACACTGTGGCTCAGGGGGCGCGGGGGCTGAGCCTGTGGGCAGCTGAGGGCACGTGTGGGTGGCAGCTGTTCCGATTGGTCAAAGGGAGCGCAAGCCAGAGAGGCCGGAGCTCTCCCCCATTAGCTTTGCCATCGCCTGGGACTTGCAGCTCCACCTTGGGCCACTTCCAACCATGAAGCTCCTTTCGCTGACTGTGACTGCACTGCTGCTCTTGTGCCAGCTCACTCCAGGTAGGTCACCTTCCAGAACCGTCTAGAGAGGGCACCTTCACCAGCAGGTGCAGATCTCAGCCACGCCATCACTGCTCCCCAGGGAGCGTGCCCAGGTGGCCTAGCACCATGAGAGGGAATGGAAGGGGTGGGCAAGAGAAGCAGGAAGAGCAGAGGACAGTAGAAATAGTCCCCAGAATCATCTCGCTGTGTGAAGGTCACAACCACCGAACCAGGAGAGAAAAGCTGGTTTCCTATTGCTGTCTCTGTGCCAGAGCCTGTGTGGGGAGCCAGGGTCACAGAGGTAAATGGCACGGCCCTGGGGGCGATGACAAATACCATTTACAACCCAGAGTGACTCCAGCTGTAATAAAGGGAGCCATGAGGCTGGGGTGCACATGGAGGGGGGACCAGCCCAGCCTGAGGGCCAGGGGCATCCTCCCAGAGGGATCCCCCCACGTCCTGAAAAATGTGTAGAAGAGAGAAGGCGAAGGAATGAGGTGGAAATCGAAAAGGTGCCTGGCAGAAATCACCGTATGCGAAGGTCCAGATGTGGGAGAGATCACGGTGCCTTTAGGGAGCTGGCACAAATGGAGGCGTGGGTTAAGGGCGTGGCGAGGGGTAAAGCTGAGGCTGGACCGGGAATGCCAGGGAGGGAGCCATGGGAAGGCTTACGAAGAGAAGGGCCATCATCAGACTTGCCCGTTCCACCCACTCCAGCATGAGCTACCTGGCCCCTCCTACTCAGCTGCCAGAGCTTCTGCCCACCCCCAGGCTTTCCTCTAACCTTCCCAGGTGTGGGAATGTGTGAATTTCCTCAAACAAGCTGCCCTGAGTCCTTGTATCTGCCTGTGGGAAGATGCCTGAAAGGGCTCACCCGGGGTAGAGAGGAAAGCCCCAGAACCCGGTTAGAAACTGCCCAGCTTTTTCTCACACGGGGACCCCCAGCAAGCAGCCCGCCTGCTCCGTTTCAATGTCCTCCTTCCTCGGACTGCTCCAATAGTGCCTGTGTAGCAAGGTCCGGTTGAGGGCACAGCAATGAACACACTGACATTTTTGTGTGCGAAAACAGGTAGTTTCTATATTTTGTGTAACTCATCTGAGTTCCCCCTGGAACTTCCATCGTGCTGGTGGGACAGTTGGGAGGCAGGTGGAGCATAGGAGCTATGCCCAAACTCGGCAGTTAAATATTCATCCTTTCTGGTTTAAACTGGTTACCAGGTTCATTCTGTCCCTTTGAATAAATATTCGGTCTTTCAGCATTTTTCCTTTCTTATGCTCCCCTTCTCCTTCCCAGAATAGAATTGGGTTTAAGAGAAAGTAACTTGATATGTCATGATTTCATTAATTGGTTCATTCAGGAAACATGGTTGAATAGATTTAATGTTCCAGGCAATGGGATAGGTACAAGAGAAAGAGCAGTGAACCAATCAGAACAAAGCAAGATAAGCAAAATCTCTGTCCTCTTGGAGCTTACATTCTATTGAAGGAGACAGAAAAAAATTGAAATAAATGAAACATATGGAATGTCAAATGATGACAATAATGAACAGAATAGACAGGCAAGGGGAATAGCAAATATGAGTGGGGTGGACTTGCCATTTTAAAGGTGTGCTCATAGAATGGCTCATTGTGACCTGAGGGAGGATAAGGGATAAGCCATGTGGGTTTGTGGGGTAGAACATTCAATCTGGGGGTGCAAAGGCCCTATGTCGGGAGCATAAGGAATTGGGATAGGGTCCTATGCTGAACCTTCACTGGCTTTTAGGACGATGCCCTTCATTGTTTATGGTCAGTGAGTGTCCTGCTGGCACTTGCTACTGGATCCCATGGCTGATAAAATCTCAGTCTTGTCGGAGTCCCACTGGCTCAGCCCTTGATCTCAGCCAAATCTCCCATCTGCCCTTAGGTTTAGTCTGTTCACACCCCTTCCCACTGCCTTATGCACAGAGGTCTACTCTTGAAAAGGCTCTTAGCTTCTCACTGGTTTTCCTAACCAGAGACACAGAGAATTCGGGACCTTCTGGTCTATTTCATGCCACAGGAAAGCAGAGGGAGATGCTCAGCCACTTCTAATCCTCCTCCAGGTGGCGCCATGATGTGGGTGTCCAGTCTGTTAGCAATAACTGGGCCATGCTCAGGCTAGGAATGCGGGCCGTTTGTCCAGACCAATCTGGGTGTTTATAGCAAAAGATTGTCTTACCCCTACTTTTCTCAAATTAGTTGTCTCTACGTCCTAGGACCTAGGTCGACCAGCAGGCCAATAGTGGGGAAGGGGTAGAAAACCTTGGTTTCTAGCTTGCTGATAGGTCCACCATCAGCCTGGCTGGCCAAGGTGAAGTATGAGGTTTTAGTGGAAGTCTCAGGCCTGTAGCTGCCGCTGTTGCTGCAAGAAGTGGATTTAAGTGCCCACTTTCTCCTAGGGAGAGCATTTCCCTTCTACTTTCTGTTGGGTGTGATGGTTGCAAAGATTGAATGGAAGTTTCTCTAGCCAGATCCTCAGCCTTTGCCTCCTATGGCTTATGGTAAGGTAGTATTATCTGAATCTATCAGGCTCACATAATAATATGTAAAGGAGCTCTTTGAAATTGGAAATCCTGACTGTTCTTGATAAATTTTGGTTCTTAAAAACCATTGTCTTGCTATGAACTAAAACTACTCATCTCATTTAAGCAATGACTTTGTCATTCTAACTGTTCTTTACTATTTCTCTAAAGCCCAGGAACAGCTTAATTCTGCTTTTTGGCAACCAAAATGAAAGAATAATGAAATACATATTACTTTAATATTTTCAAACTATTAAAGTTAGGTTAATTGTGGAAATTTTGGGCATATATATGAAGCCTGAGAACCCAACAGATATTAGATTTAGGTGGGACATGTCACCTACTTTTCCATTATACCTCCTCATAGCACCCAGAGTTCTTCCTTTATAACATTCATTACAACTATAGTCAATCAAATATCTGGGAAGTTATTTCTTTAATGGCTATCCCCCAACCACCACCAGCACCACTAGACTGGAAATTCTAGGCAGTGTCTATCTCTAACCTGTTTCTAGTTGTATCTCCAATACAAATATAGTCTCAATCTACCCATGTGAGTATTTCTCTAGGATAGACATCTGGAAAGAAAATTGCTATTTGAAAGAAAATTCTGTTCCTAATATTAAAGTGTGTGAGTCATTGCTAAGTAGCTTCCAAGGAGGCCAAAACCAAGTGTATGAGACCATCTTTCCTCTCACTCTCACCAACAGTTCATCTTGACACTCTTGAATTTAAAATTGAGATTTTATTGCAATGGTTTGGGGGTGTTGTAAAATAAAACACAAAATTACAGATTATGAAACCACATAAAATGAATGCACAGCTTAATGAATTGTTATAAAGCACACAACCTAGTAACCACAATCTAGATCAATAAATAGAACATTGACACCCACAAAAACCCCACCTGCCCCCATCACAACTATCTCCCTTCCCCAAATTAAGCAAAATCTTGACTTTTACCAGTATAGCATTCAAGTCTTTGCATTTTCTTTATGGTTTCATTGGCAACAATGCATCCTTAGACATCCTATTTTTGTCATGTCCACTTTAAAAATCTGATGTCCCTTAAGATTATTTAATGTACTAGTTACATCTTCATCCCTTTCTTGTCTTTAGAATTTACCTGGTTATCTGGCATGACAGGATATTCTAGGCTCATCTTGTACAACTCCTGCTGCAGAACATGAAAGCCATTTCTTTAAGCTCTGATTTTTAAAAATAGGAAAATGGTATTTTTAAAACTAGAACTATGATCTAGTGCTAGAGATATTCAATGCTACTAAATTGGTCCTTTCTTTTTCTTTTCAGTAGACAGAGCTAGGAGAGAAAATCAACACATTTAAATGTATATAAAATACCTCAGAATTCATATTGATACTTTCTATTCAAAGTGAGGACTACAGGATTTGTAGTCAAAATATTCCATATTCCTCCTGTATTTTCCTTCATCCATACCAACATTCTCAGATACACTGTGTACTTCTTCAACTTCAGCATTTTCAAGTCATCTGTTATTTAAAGAACATCTTGAATTATAGTTTGAGTATTTTTTCTGATATCTTGCTCTGCTTTTTCCCCTCAAGATCTCTTCTTGTCTCTATGTTGAATCTCCTTTGCCTATCTTCAATGGTTGTCACGTTCTATTGACTTTTTCTCTTGTTTCTTTTTTTTATCATTTTTACTGAATTCAAATTTACATAAAATAAAATGCCCACATGTATAAGAATAAAAGCATAATATGCTAATTAGACTGGACATCCTTCCGGATGACCTTCCGGACGAAGCCAGGGCTACAAGAGAAGCCCGGGTCCCGGGTGCCAGAGGGAAGCCTGTGCCGGAAGCCGAGGGAAGGAAGGCCTTCTCTTGCACGAATTTCGTGCATCGAGCCTCTAGTTTTAAGTATAAAATGTCAGCTTCAACAAATGTATATATTCATGTAACCACCACCACAATCAGTATAATACATTTCCACCATGCCCCTTTGCAATCAATTTCCTCCCCTCCCCCGCC